AACTCCAGCGGTCTCGCACTCAGTCACCCTTACCCCGGATCTGCCGGTCGTCTCGAGTCGACCCAGATTTGAACAATGTCTGGTCGATCCAAATTTGAATTGTGTTGGGTTTGGTTTTGGTTGTGACCCGTTTTCCTAATGGGGTCGAGATAGTTAATGGTGGGTAATTTTCTTGCTAGATCGTAACCTAATTCGAAAATATATTTTGACACCTCTAACCAAGAGGGCAGATCCATTGTTCTTATGCCATTGAAGGGAAATGGGATTTCCGAACCATCCAAAATGATGATTGAACAACAATCTTTGTTCTTGCAAACTCTACAGTCTCATAGCAGGGTTTAGTTTTGTCTTGTTAGAAGAAAATTCGAGGCAAATTAATCAACCCACTAAAGTAAAAAATCTCATGCAGAAATTTAGTCAAGTTTTTCTTGATTCACTATCCATAGGCCTACCTCCTATGAGGGAAGTTCAACATGCTATCGAATTCTTACCAAGAGCAATTATTCTCGAATGCCCTACATACTGAGTGTCACCTTAAGATTATGAGGAGTTACAAGGGCAAGCAAATGATTTAATAACTGCAGGTTTTGTGCGACCAAGTTTTAGTCCATGTGCGGTCCCCGTCCTCCTTGTGAAAAAAAAAGAAATTTGGTGAATGTGTATTGACAATCGTGCTGTTAACAAAATTACTATCAAAATGTTGTTTTCCTATTCCGCTTGTTGATGATTTATTTGATCAGTTGTACGAATCAACTATCTTTTAAAGATAGATTTGCAAAGTGGTTATCACCAGATCAGAATGAGAGCAAGAGATGAATGGAAAATAACTTTCAAAACACGAGATGGATTATACTAATGGACGGTCATGCCTTCCAGCCTGTCTAATGCCCCTAGCACTTTCATGTGCATGAATTAGGTTTTTGTCCCTTTTTAAATAAATTTTTTGTTTTTATTTTGACGACATTCTGGTGTATAGTCATGCCACAAGAGCATCTACAACACCTCCAACAAGTATTTGAGGTTCTCCTCGAGTAGCAATTGTTTGCCAATACTTCCAAATGTGAATTTTTGGTAGCTAACATCAAATTTTTGGGATTTTTTGTCTCTCTTAATCGTCTGAAAGTGGATCCCGACAAGGCAATTGACATTAAAGAATGGTCGATTCCCTTATCAACGACTGCTGTGAGGTTTCATGGATTGGCTTCCTTTTATCATCATTTCATCAAAAACTTTAGTACGATTGTTGCACCATTAACTGAATTACTCAATCAACCACAATTCATATGGACCTTAATGACGCAAGACAATTTTGACCAATTAAAATTATTTGTTTCTTCAACACCTGTTGGCTCTCCCAGATTTTTCCCATGTGTTTGAAGTGGATTGTGACGCTTCTAATTTAGGCATTGGAGTTGTGCTTAGCCAAGGTGTCCATCCAGTGGCTTACTTCAGTGAGAAACCTGATGAATCTCGCCAAAAGGATTCTACTTGTAACAAAGAATTCTATGCTCTTGTCCAGGCTTTTTATATGCTCTTGTCCAGGCTTTTTATACCATTAGAGCTATTACTTGTTGACATAAGAATTTATTTTATTCTCTGGTCATCATCCTCTCAATCATCTTCACAATCAAAGCAAATTAAATGGAAAAAATGCTAAATGGGTGGAGTATATATCCTCTTTTCATTATTGTTTGAGGCATAAATCAGGAGCAACAAACCAGGTAGTCGACGCCCTCAGCCAACGGTTTTGTCTGCTTATCACCATCCAATTAGAAACAATGGGGTTTGAAGTCATCTAGGAATTGTATGAAAAAGAGCCTGACTTTCAAAAGATATGGGAACAATGCCAACAACACCCCTACAAACTTTTCCATATCCAACAAGGCTACCATTTTCTTAGGCAACTAGTTATGCATGCCCCAATGTTCTATGCAAGATGTTATTTTTGCCAAAAGCCATGATGGAGGTTTATCTAGGCATTTTGGGCATGATAAGACTTTGGCCAGCATTCAAGAAAATTTATATTGTCAACTTCATGTTTGAGAGATACCTTAATAGGTGTTGAATCTGTAAAATAGTTAAAACAACACAACATAACACTGAATTATATTTGCTTTTGTCAGTACCCGACTCACCTTGGGTAGATGTTACCATGGACCTTGTTTCGGGCCTTCCTCTCACACAATGAAAAAAATATTTAGTCATGGTTATATTTGATCAGTTTTCAAAAATGGCTTATTTTATGCCTTGTCGAAGGACATTAGATGCATTGCATATTATTGAACTCTACTTCCATGAAATTGTACGACCAACTGACAAAGATGTTAAATTCCTTGATCACTTTTGGAGAACGCTGTGGACCAAACTGGGGACTAAACTCTAATTTAGTTTAGTAGCACATCCACAAACAGACAAACAAACTGAAACCATCTAGAGGAGTTTGATAAATATTTTGAGATATTTATTGGGAAAAACATCCATCAATGGGATGAAATTTTGGGTCAAGTTGAGTTTACTTACAATCGGTCACGGAATCAATCTACAGGCCACTATCCTTTTGAAGTTGTATATGGACAAAATCCAATTGGCTCACTAGAGTTAGTATCACCTGTTGCAACAACAACCCATCATTTTGATGTTGAAACTCGAAATATGGAAATTCATAAGCTTCACCAAGTGCAACATGAAATTCATAAATAGAATGCTAGATACCCAAAATAGGTTAACAAATCTATAAAAGGCAACACAATTTTAAAGAAGGAGATCTAGTTTGGATAAAGTTAAACTAGGAACAGTTTCCAACGTAGCACATAGCAAACTCAAACCCAAAGCAGATGGACCACTTCACATTATTAAACACATTAATGATAATGCTTTTCAAATAGATTGCCTGAAAATCTACAAGCTATGATGCACATACATGGGCACGACGACACTGAAACGACATGACATGGATACAGGACATGTCAATTATTAAAAATATAGGGCACGGACACAGACACAGGTTGAACATGGTATGATAATTTTTATATCTTAAAAATAGCATATAGAAATTTAGTAAGTAGAATATTTAGAATAATTAAGAAATAATAAATCATTTTTAGTAAGATTTGTTTATAAAATGATTAATATTAAGATGTCAAGAGTTGGGCTTTGATATTGTGTTTTGTCAAGAGTCGGGCATCAAGCGTCGATGTCGAAACAACGTTGGTCTTCTATGTTGAATTGATCTTGGTCAATGATGAGATGTCGGGATGATGAGGGGCGTGATTATGGGGGTAGGAATTGCTAGTGTCAAATTTTAATTTTTAAATATTTTTAAAACATTGATGTTATAATGGTGTCATACATTGATGTTGTGAAATCCTTGCTGTGATCTACTTGATACAAATAAAAATAATATGTTTGGGGAATGAGATAGTAAGTGTGGGCACTTGATTTGGGGTTGTTGAGAGGAAAAAAAATTTCATTTAATTAAAAAATTGAAATATATAGAAATTATATTAAAAAAATTTCTTAAAGAAATTTAAGACACGTATGTCCAATTTATTTTTAATATTTTTTTAATCTGTCACATCTTTGGTGTGTCCAATATGTATTGGAGTCGTGTCAAATGCGTGTCATGTTCAATACGTGTTGGACACTACATACTTCATTGAGAATAAGTGTCGGTGCATCCTAGATGCACCTAGTCTACAAGTCTCCAAGTCTCCACTCCGCCATTTTCAATATTTAAGATTTATCTCCTTATTACGGAGCTGCAACAGTTTTCATTGATGAAGAAATCTCGTCTCAAGCTCGGGAGAATGACGCAGTAGCTGAAATGGCATTCAGAATGTTTCAGCTTTTCGGTCCATCTCAAGGCTGAACTAATAGATACAGGACCTTCTGGTTATTCCCTTGTTCGGTTCAGTCAAAACTGAACCTGCAGCTGAATCAATCTCTGTAGTTGATTTGATATCATTCTAGACTCTTTTAGGGTATTTTATTTATAAGGAACTGTTTTCCTCTTTTGTTGTTAAGAGACTTTTAATTCATTCAAATTAAGCGAGTGCTGAATTATCTGTATCCTGAGATTTTTATCCAGGTGGTGGTGTTTTCAATAAGACAGCAATTTCTTTATCCTTCCTTTACTCTTCTTCTAGGCTTTGTTATTTGTCTTCTTTATTCGGCGTCATTCTAAACTAGATATCTGAAGTAATCAACAGATGCAATTATAATGCATTTTCAACTACCCATGTAAATTTAATATCTGTAAATGGTCCTGGGCCAATATTATAATTGTATCTGATTTTATGATTTGCTTTGCTCTTTTATTCGAGCTGGTGGTGTTCAATATGGTTATGACCACCACCTAACCAGCCTTTATAGCTCGCTAGATTTTTGTTAAGGCTTTTTTTTTTCCTTCTAAGAGGTTGTGTCTTTGAGGTCTGTTTCAAATCCTTGAATGATGAAACCTGAAGGCATAACGACTAGATTCCAATGAGGGTTTTACAGCCTTCCTGCATGTCATTTCATAAAATTTAAGTCCCCTAAAATTTTGTTTTTGACGTACTATCAAAACTCTTTACGATTTGGCAAAACCAACTATAGGTAGAATTTTGTTGCTGCTTGGCAAAGGACTTGTTTGGCCCATGCTTGTGGCTGTTTATTAACATGTTATTGAACTAAACTTTTTTTCCACCATTTTTCCACTTGAAGCAAGTATATATCATTGCAAAATTTTTAGCTCTCTGTCTCTCTTTGTTTTTTTCCTTTTTTACTATTGTAACTGGATGAGGAAACCTCATTAATTCATAAGAACTGGTTCAAGGAAAAAACTAAAAATAAAAATTAAAAAAGTTTATGGTATAAATTCATTTGCCAATCATGCAGGAACAATAGTTTTGTTTATCATTGAACCTATGAAGAGCAGGAGAAAGCGGAGGTCTTCTCATTACACTCCGATGAAGGTGGCTGATTATTTTTATGACTTTACCTTACATTAACTAATCTTGCAGGAAGCATATGCGAAGTATGTGAAAGAATATTACCTCGGGAAGTTTGGTGCATCACTTAATGCATATAATCAACAAATCCTAAAGAATACATCTCTTGGTTCAGAGGGTGGTAATACATCATTCTAAGCTTTTTATGTTTGTATGGTTCCTTGCAAGTAGAAGTGCATTTTGTTGTGAGAATGCTTTTATACTCTCTATAAAATTTGGCATTTGCATAAACTATTTCATCTTCACTTTTGTTATCAAATTTAAATTTCTAGGTGATCGATTATGGTGGTTCCAAGTTTGCACTGAGGTTGCATATTTCCAAGTTGCACCAACAAATGATAGTGTCCGATCACCACGAATTGATACTAGGTATACTCATTCTAGATAATCGTCACACCTTTTTCTTTATGGGCTGTTTTATGGTGGAAGTCTTCTTTAATAAATTTGTTTACATCAAAAGAGCACCATGGTTAATTTATTCATAAAAGCCTAGAGGATTACCTATTATGAAGGTTCATGGCGCTACTGGAGTGGAAATTGCAAATAATGCTTACTGTACATTCTAATTTTTTGTACAATGAAATATTTGAGATTTTCTGGGGTGGAAAAGTGTTTTTAGCGGTAGAGAATTTCCTTTCATGATGGTGACACCTTAACAGATCCGGGGGTGAACCTTATTGATCTGATTCATTTTGCCTAGCTCCATGCATAGCATGTTATGAATTTAAAATATGTGGCTTATAGAGCTTGATTATTTAAAAACACCGCCACAAAAAATCTCTTGCTTGATTGTTTGCACATGTATCCATCTGGTGAAGAGGGAAAAGCATCTTGTTCTTCTGATTTAATCATTAACAGCAACAAATCTGCAATGTGTATCCACAACCATTTTCATATTCTTTGCATATAACCTTTCTGGCATTTAGCGGTGATTGTGGTAGCCAGTTTACATTTGTACTATTTGTATAATTTGTTTATTGTAGGCTAGTTACAGATCCCATCGTTGGACATATGGTACGGCCCAATGAAAGAAAAAATACTGTTTCAGGCATGGAATAGGAGCATATCTAGTAATCATTTTTTAAAATTTAAACAAAAATGTTAAAATTTCATATTTGATTTTATAGTAAAATATACATTATATTTTTTATGGCTTGGCAAAATATCAAATGACTTTGTTTGCATCATAATCAGACATTCATTTGGGAGGTCTCAAAGCAATTATTTTAAAATATATAAATTTACAACAACAACAACATCATCAAGCCTTTATCCCACGGCATGGGGTCGGTTTTATGAATCATTTTTATCCATAGTGTCTTGTTAAGAGTCAAATCTTATTTAAATCTAATAAAAAAATGTAATTTCTAATTTTCTAACCAAATTTTTTTAGGTCTACCTCTATTTGTCTTAACATAGGCCAAATGTAATACATCTACTCTCCTAACTTGGTCATTTGAAGGCCAGCGTTTTATGTGACCAAACCTTTTGAGGCAACTCTCTCTAATCTTATTTGCCACTGGAGCTACTCCAATCTTTAACGTATATGCTTGTTTCGCATTCTATCTCTAAAAGTAAAGCCACTCCACCCGAGTATCCTTATCTCTGCAACACATAACTTAATTGTATGCTTCTCTTTTAATGGGCAACATTCTGCTCCATAAAGTATTGTAGATCTCACTACCATCTTATAGAATTTTCCCTTAACTTTAAGGGGTACATTTATATCACACAACATGCCCGATGCATTATTCCACTTCAACCATTCAACTTGAATTCTACTAATAATATCCTCACCTATTTCACCATCACTATGGATAATAAACCCGAGATCTAAAACATGTACTTTTATTAATGACTTGATCGCCCAAAGTCACAATCCTCCCATTAGATCTATTACTACTTAAATTACACTCCATGTATTCGGTTTTTGATCTACTTAAAAGAAAACATTTAGACTCTATGATTGATCTTTATAATTCAAATTTACCTTCAACTCCTGTACAAGAAGAATATCATCAGCAAAAAGCATACACCAAGGTACATCCTCCTGCAAATGTCTAGTAAGAACATCCATGACTAAAGCAAAAAGATATGGGCCTAAAATTGATCCTTGATATAATCCAACTAAAATAGGAAAATACTTCATCAAACCGCCATGTAGGGGTGTCAATTTCGGGTCACGGGTCGGGTTCGGGTCGAACCCGAACTGACCCAGAATTTTGAGTTGAACTATATTTCATGTTGTCTTATTATTGGGATATTTTGATTTCACTTCATATATTGTGCTTTTTTATGTTTTATATTATTCACTTATTAGTATATAAAAAATTTATCATTTTATGTTTATTCAATCTTTTGATTTTGAGGCTTACGCCTCAAAACGCCTTGAGGCTTACGCCTCGCCTCACGAATGAAAAACGCCTCAATACCCGAATACACAATTTTAAACATTGTTGCATACATATCTTTAGTGGCTTGAGTATAAGCATTATTTACCTCTTTCTTTTTTAAAATAACTTCATAGCACATCTCTTTGAAGTTTATTATAAGCTTTCTCTATATCAATATATATCATAAGTAGATCCTCCTTATTCACCCTATACTTCTCCATCAAATCTCTCAATAAATGTATAGCTTCCATAGTAGACCAACCTAGCATGAATCTAAATTGATTTTGAGAAACAAGTATCACATCGTAATCTATGCTTATTAACTCTGTCCCAAAGTTTTAAAGTATGATGCATTAACTTAATTCTTCTATAATTCATGTACTCTTTTGCATCACCTTAATTCTTAAAAATAAGAATCAACACACTCCACTCATCTAGCATCTTTTTAGTCTTTAAATAATATTGAAAAGTTTCGTAAGCAAAGAAATTATTTGATCTCCTTAGCATTTTTACACCTTTATTGGAATATCATCAAGTCCAACGACTTTTCCACACTTTATTTTCGTTAAGAAATTCTTTCATCTCCCAAGAAAATTGTTTTTCTCCTAAGGCTTCAACTATTAGGTTTTATCTTTCTGGTTCAGTTCTCCTGTAACTTTATCCCACATATCCAAACAAACTTCCTAAATCTATCAAATATGTTTGAAAATGTAAAAGACTCAAAGTTATAAAACAGAAAGGGATTAGGAAGCAATTTAATATATAAACAAAGAATCACCATTGAATTGTTTGGCATTTAAAATGTCAAGCTCTATTTCTATCCTATTAGTTATACCTCATTGACGGGTTTTAAGCAACAATTGTAAACAAGCATTTTTTTTATAATGATGATTTAATTACCCTCTATTGGACATGGTCGCCCACAGAAGAAAGCAAGTATATCTTTATTCTATGCACTTAAGGGAAAATGCCCATAATGCAAATAATTCAATGTTCATCACACCAAATTATCAACCACATGCATAAAAAAGAAAAATTCTAATCATAGCTTTCCTAGGCTCTGTTGTAAGTCACACTACAAGTGGTGTCTTGCTTTATTATAGAGTGGAGATGTTTAATTTTAATCCAAAGGGTGATTTTATTTGAATGTGTTTATCAAAACTTTTATTTGATTTTTAATTGTTTCATATTTAGAAGGATTATGAATAACTTATAAAGCAGCCACTACTTGCTTTGAGGTGAGCCTGCTACTCATAGAATTCTAAGATCCAATGATGTAGGTATTCCACTTTTTTGGGTGAAATGATTTATCATTGTATCAAGAGGAACCTAAGTTATTTTTAGTTGTTTTTTAGAGTTCTGATTCCCTAAAATTTCTAAAAGTCATTTGGGAACTTTCATAATAGTTTAAGGAATGCACCAAGCAAAGAGATTTAGAGGATTTCCTATAGCTATTAGGCCAAGGAAAATGAAAGATATTCTATGATTTTTGGCTCTATAGAAAATGAGAAGAGAAAATGTAACTTAGGGGTTGCAAATTAATGAAGACTCTTGAACTTTTGGTGTTCAAAGAGAGATGACCATTTGTTTAATTTGGGCTAAGCAAATGAAGGAGACTAGGATTTGGGATCTATGTCTAAGGGATTGTTTCTTAATTTTGGATTCAACAAATGAAGCAAAAGAACTTAGGATTTAGTCTTAAAGTTTAAGAATTTATGGTATGGTATGTTTAGGGCCTTAGGGAAGTCCAAAACATCATGGATGAGTCCAAAACATCATGGATGAGTCCAAAACATCATGGATGAGGAAGGTTGGTGATAGCTCCTAAGGGATGCTAAGATTCATGCAATGAAGTATTTGGAGCCTTGGTATGCTCCAAAACATCAAGCATGAGAGGAAAGGGTGTTTGAAAGAGAGCTCCCTAATTTTTATTAGAGTATTTTGGACTCATTCTTAAGGGAGAGATTCAATTAGAGGCTTTGAAACAAAATTTTCAAGATCAATTTTGGCATGATCTAAGAAAATTAGGAGTGTGAATATGATTTGCATTTTAGAAATTTTTATAAGCTATAGCAATTCACTAAATTTTGATGCACAAGATTTTGCGAGATGCCAAATATAAACTTAAATAGCTCTACCCATTGTGGGGCTTGCAACATAGACCTTTGAGGGTCTATGGGAAGTATCACGACGATTTGAAATTTTCCAAATTATTTAGATTCATTCTTTGGATGCTCATAAGAACATTATGCAAATCCACAAATCCATCATCCGGCCGTGGTGGAGGTTGAAGATTCACGTCCGTGATGTCATCCAACACCTACTATACATGCTCTTCGAATTTCCCCTAGACAAAGGAGACATCTGGAGATTGCCGAATTTTTAAGTAAAATAGAGGACCTGAACTTATATAAAGGGAGCACAAAGGACATGAACTAAACAAGGATGATAGGGAACCAAACTTAATTCAAATAACATGGAACCAGACTTTAATTTAATAAATGCATGATCACATAAAACATAAGTGCTAATTAATGGTGTTGATTATGCAAATAAAAAATCAATGGATGAATAGGGGATTTGTGTTAAAATTTCAATACGCATAACTTATTGATTTGCCCACAAGCATTGATCAATATAAATATGATAAATAAGGAATGCTTGAAATGAACAAATTCTCAAACATAAATTACAAGAACGAAGGAGTTAAACATGCTAGTCATGGATAAGACAGCTCTCCACGAATGTGAAAATGTAAACACCAATAAATATCAAACATCAACAGGGGAGACTTATAATAAGCAATGTGATTTGCCTGAAGGCACGAACATGAACTCATGGAGCACATGATGTCTTGCTTACAAGTGACTACAAAAAATTTATGCGCTTCTATAAGTAACAGTAGATGAACATTCGATGTATACATCAACTTGTCTGCAAATGGTGAAGCTCATTGCAAACATGCACAATGTAGAGTGCGATGAATGCAAATACC